TGGGGGGTGGGGGTGGGGGTGGAGAGTACCAATAAGCATTTAGTGAGCATCTGCTCCCAAAACACTCCTGTAAGGGTTTGCCTGAAACGTCCCTCCTCCCACACTGCTCCTGCCCTGTACCACAAAGATCCTGTTGGGAAAACAGGTTATTAAATATTTGTCTCACTCCCCTAAAACTTAATTTTTTCTCCTGTGTTCAAATTTGAGTTATTTTACTACCAGATCTGGCTAACAGATTAACACTTCAGGCCAGATCTGAGACAATGCTCAAGGGAAAGCTGGGAAGCAGCTTCCGCAAAGCAGGGCCACACACACCTGCTCCCTGAGGCCTACAATCTGGGATGCAGGCACCCATGGGGCCCAGCAGCCCACAACACTGCCCAGGAAAGCAACAAGTCCTCCTACTCACGCTGCAGGGGTAGCAAGGAGGGACAAAGAAGGGGCTGTCCCAGTCCCACTCATTCCCCGTCAGAAACCCTCTGAAAAGATACCTGCACTCTTATCCTGCTGAACAGTCAAAAAACACTGGGAGGCAATAATAGTAAGACAGCAATAGTCATTATCTCTGGCTGAATGAGAATTATGTTCTCTAAACATTTTTGTAATTTAAAAGATCCCATAGTGGGAAAATGTAATTTTAAAAAACAAAAACCAAACCCAAAGTTTGTTGCTTCCCAAGCAAGTAAGCAAGCAAATGTCTTGACACTGGTATTAACCATGTCACAAAATGCCTCTTCCCCCTCTTACATCCATCAGGGTGCTGATAGGGCTGGAAGCGTAGCTCAAGAGATACAGGGCTTGTCCACAGGGGAAAATGCTGAGAAGAAAGAAATGGCTCATAGTTTTTAAAGCATTTGACAAATGACTCCAGAGGATCTGGCAGGAACAAGGAAATGGTGACTTCTAAATTCTTTTGTTCCAAAATTAAGAAAACCTTACAGCTAGGTTTCAACAATTAAAGGAGTAATTATAACTAAAGCAGACTACAGCAAGCCTTGTTACCTTGTGCTGCTCTGGGACAGGCGTGGTGCACTTGTAAGAGTAATCCAGGCCCATTTCTCCAAATGCCACAGCCTTGGGGTGCCTTAAGGCTTGCAAAAGATTTCGTTCTTGACTCTCATTATAGTACCGTGCAAAATGAGGGTGACAGCCAAAGGCCCCCCAAACCTGATCCTCCTTCAATAGCTCCTCCCACAGGCAATCCGTCAGTGTCCGAGGATCACAGAAGTCTGAGATGCAGCCCTGAAACTCCTTAGGGAAGGAGCTGCTATACATTCTCCTGAACTTTGTGAAGGTCCCTTTGAAAGACAGCTTGGAGTAGAGCATGTCCAAGTGGCAGTGGGTATCAATGAAGCCCTCCTCCAGGCCTAGTTCCCGGTGGCTCCTCGGCAGGAAGGCAGATGTGCTCCTGTCCACCTGTCCTCCACCAGAACGAGGTGGTGTCTCCTCTCGGAATGTTCTTTTCTCCTTCATCTCTTCTCTGGAGTTTCTGGAGAAATGAAATGCACGAGAATTCTTTGATCTGCCTTCATCTGCAGCCTTCAGGTCACTGGAGATGTTCTGGGCATCCACTACGGGGCTGGGGGAATAGTCACACTGGAGGCTGCGGCTGCTCTTCCCAGCCTGCGCTGTATCATGGCTGCTGCTGCCGCAAACAGAGGGGTACCCCGGAGTCTTGGAGCTGCTGCTCCAGTAGCTGGCATAGTCACACCAAGGACTACTATACAAATGAGGAGGGTACATGACATAGTCAGTGGGGAAGGAAGAAGGCTCTGGAACTGCTGAGTATTTCAGCGAGACGGTCTCTTCCTGAGAGAATCTGACTGTGGAGACCTCGTCCACATCAGACCAGTCACTTCCTGAAGAGGGGTGCTCCAGCACCACCTCCCTGTCTTTATGCTGCAGAAAGGAAAGGACAATGTGTTAGTCTTCCCATGTGCAAACAGCCCTCGTGCTTAGCACCAAGATGTGAGGATGGTCTGTCCCTTCTGGAGCTCAGGTGGGAGACTAATTCCCACTATGAGGGTCCAAGAGAATGAAAACCTAACCCGACTGTAGTGTTTGGAGATGGGGCCTTTGGGAGGTCATTACATTAGAGAAAGTCATCAGGATGGAGGCCCAGGATTGAACCTTGGTAGTTTTATATGAAGATGGAGAGAGACCAGATGATAAGACACACAAGTGAGCTCACTGTCTCTTGCCATGATGCCCTGCCCCTGTTGGGTCCGTGCCAGCAACAAGGCCCTCACCAGATGCAGCTCCTTCACCTTGGACCAGAACTGTGAGCAAATGATATTGTTATTAGCAAAGGCATCAGCAGACATAAACCCTGGCTCATTTTCTGTGCAGAGGTACATTAGCTCACCTTTCACCTGTTGCCTTACAATCTCCACATTCCAGAAGTGAAACCTGCTAGGTTACACCACAAGCTGCAGCTGCAAACAGTCCTATCATATCTGAGGTATGTTCCTGTGATCACTGTATTCTGCCCCTAAAGGGGATGCTATACCTGTACCTGTATTCCTTCTCTAACTGGTCCCTCTAGAGAAAAAGTGCTCTGCAGAATGCACTCCATACTGGGGATCTGAGGATGCCCAACAATATTTCCAATACACCCAAAACACAAAACCACAACTGTTGTGGTTGATCTGAAATGTGCCCCCAAATACTGGGTCTATGGCTTGCCCACTTGAGTCCATGTTAACTATGCCTCACCTGCAGTCCACAGAATGCAGAAGAAAAGCTATGGACTCCAGGGCTGGGTCACACAGGCTGTGGCCTTCTTCCCCTTGTGCTGTCAGCTGGCTTCCTCCAAAAGTAGCCAGCCATGCCACCCCCATGAAGTCACCTGCAGGTACAGGTGGGGGGGGAGGGGGGGAGGCTGAGCTGATGTGGCACCATTGTCATCCCATCAGAACCAGGTGTCAAATGCCTGCAGACCTCAAACCATGGGAGCTACCACATGAGTCTCCCCAGACTACACTTTCTCAACTCAGTGCAAAACCTACTTGTAAGCCACTAAATAGCAACAAGAACAGGAACAGCCATGCCTTGCATCAAATCAAACAGTGTAACAGGTAAGCCCTGGAAACAGCCTAGATGCCTATCAATGGATGGATGAAGAAAATACGGTCTATACATGTGATGGGATCTTAGCAATAAAGAATAAAATCATGTCATTTGCAGGAAAATGGATGGAACTCAAGACCACCGTGCTAAATGAAGTAAGCCAGACTCCGAAAGCTAAATATCATGTTTTCTCTTATATGACAAGCCTAAAATATAGATAAATAAAGTTTAAATATCACATTGTTTTTCTTATACGAGAAACCCAAAATATAAATAAGGAGCAAAATAAAAAGACATTAGGAAACAGGGAGACATTTTTCCAATGGAAAGAGGAACAAGAGATGGAGACAAGAGGGAAGGAAGGGGAAAGGGATTTTAAAACAATGAGCTGAATAGAAAGAAAGTAGGAATAGAACTTTTGCAAATAGAGAGGGGAAGAAGAGTTGGAGGGAGCAGGGAGAGAAGGGGGTCAAAAAAAAGGAGGTGTTATGTACACGTACAAACTCCCCATGATAAATGTAACCCTATGTACCGCAAGCACATATTAGTAAAAAAATAAATAAATGAGTAGGATAAAGGAGAGACAATAGGAAACTAAAAGTTAAGACTCTTAGAGATGGGAGAGGGGGCCAGGAAGAGGTGAGAAGAAATCAAATGATCTAGGTAAGTTACATACATGTACCAATTTCCCAAAACAAGCATCACTATTCTATACTACAAACATGAACTAATTTTTTAAAAAGGAAAAATTCCACAAGATTGCAGGGAGAAATAAAACAAAACAATCTTATACCAAGGATCAGGAACCAGAATAGCTTCAGACATCTCACAAAACTGAAAATAAAAAGACAAAGGAACAATGCTTTCAGAATTCGCTCCCCAAAATGACTTCCAACTTAGGACTTCAATAAAGCCAAACTTGATATTAAGGTTGAGTGTAAAGGCAGTCCCAGACACCTAAGTTTTCCAAAAAATGTCTCACATCAGCAACATCTAGGGGGCTAGGTGAGTGGCTCAGTAGCTGATGTGTGATGCCTTTGGAATCGATCCTCGGCACTGCCAGTACCAACAGTAATAATATCACAATTTAGGACCAAACTAGAAAGACCAAACACATTTAATAAAGATAACTAAAAACCCAGATGCTCGATGTGTGCTTCACTTACTTTTTGGATTTCTAGGTGGGAGTCAGCATCATCCACAAACTCTGGGGGTAGAGCAGGTTTGTCAATGCCTGTCCTTCGGCCCCCAAGTGGCTCCACACTGGGTTTCTCCTGAGGGTCTATAACCACTCTCCTGTCACAGAAGTGGCCCTTGTCTAGCACAGGCCTTTCCTCTTCCACCCTGACCTGTGGGGACGGTGCTCTCTCCTGCCGGGGAGCAGCAACGGTGACACTGCGGGCTGGTCCTGGTCCTTCTCCACTGGGATGCTCTCCCAGACATGGCTTCACCCTGGGGGCAGCAGCCTCTCCCTTCCTTTTGGGCATTGATGTCCCCAGGATGCCCTGGATGGCCTTCAGGTAGATGACAGTGGAACCCTGGTCTCGAAGCCTCTCCCTTTTCCTCTTCTGGACCTTGTCTGGCTCTGTCACATCATTCTGACCCTCAGCTTCAACTGCAAACTCAGAGTTGCTGGAGTTACGAGAACTATCTTTGGAATCAACCTGGAAGGAAAAAGACCACTTTTCAAAGAGTCATCATGACAGCACTTTCATGTAAGAAGCACATGACACAGTATGAACCCAGGGTGGTTCTTCCAGTTGAAGTGTAAGCAACAATCACTGAGAAAGAGATGCTGTCGGGATGGGGATTCCAACACACCCAGGGAGAAGTGCCACTGCCAAATGGTGAGCTGCTGCTGCCTGGTGAGCTGCTGCTGCCGTCTCGCACCCCTCACCTTCTCAGCCCATATGATGGTGCCCACACGTGTGGTGGGGAGGAATGAGCTGGGATTAGTAGTCTAATGAGACCAGACCACAAGCTCCTAGAGGCAAGGCCTTACCACACACAGTGACAGAACATCGACTCCAAACCTTCCACCGACACCAGCTGGGCCAGCTCAGTCCGCTATCTCAAGAGTTCAGAAATGTCAAGGACCCAGGGAGAGGACAGGTCAGCCTGGCAAACTCCAGCTCTGATCAGACTCCAATCTCCCATGTCCTAAGAGTTCTTCCCACCCGACCCCAAACCTCCTTCAAGATTCTGTCAACATCTTCCCCAAATCACTATCTTGGTGCTGGACAGAGGACTCCTCTCCCAGAGACTGACCCAAGCTCTACTGGGAATACCTAGTGCCCCTTCATACCTCTCCCAACTCTTCAGAGACTACCAGGAATCTCAGTCCCTTCTGTCCCCCTTAGGGGAAAAGCTAGACTATTTCTAGCTTTATTAATCTGCAACATTAATTTGTTGTGAAACTCAGACCCAGTTTAATCACACCTGCTATAAGAACACTGCACAAATCTCCCCCTCAAAACAGGCATAGTGGGGGCTGGGGATTTAGCTCAGTGGCAAAAGCGCCTGCCTGGCAAGCGCAAAGTCGTGAGTTCGGTTCCCGGTACCGGAGAAAAAAAAAACAGGCATAGTGGTACACACCTATGATCCCAGCACTTGGAGGCTGGGATAGGAGGATTGCCATGAGTTTGGACCCAGCCTAGATAGACTACACAGTGAGTTCAAGGCCAACATAAATTACATAGCAAGACCCTGTCTCAAAAAAAGAATACAATCTTCCCCAGAAAGGTCCCAGTAGCTATGGAACTCCAAACCTCCTCAGTAGTGACTGAGGCATTCTACAGACCCTACAATTTGTACTTCTAAGCCATTTGTATTAAAATTTCTCTACAATGTAAATATGCTCAGAAAAAGGAACCCCAAAGCAAGCTTTTCCCCTAAGGTGAAAAAAGAGATGACTACCAGATGACTGGGTAAATAAACAGACACCAAAAAACAGAAGGAAAAAAGAAAAAGAGAGAGAGATTGCTTTGACAACTAAGACAAAAATTCTTTTGGGTCTATATATTTGAAAATAAAGTCTGAACTGACCAACTGCTCCTCTTTGGGAAGTGACAAGAACAGGGAAGGCTTAATTGCCTATCATAAACCTTTTATACTGACTTTTCCCCCAAGAAACACACAATATCTCCTCTTTACCATTATCTGGAACTACTGTGTACAAATGTTAGTATAGCTTAGTAATTTTTTCCTGGAAGTACTCTAATTGTTGGCAGCTGGGAGTCTGGAGCAATAATCAGGAAAGGTAGCTTACACTTTGATTTTGAACCTCTCTGAACTTACTGAAGTTTCTAATACACGAATTTTTTAAGCCAGGCATGGTGGTACAGGCCTATAATCCCAGCACTCGGAAGGCTGATGCAGGAGGCTCACCACAGGTTCAAGGCCACTCTGGGCTACACAGTGAGTTCAAAATCACCCTGACCTGCATAGTGAGACCCTGTCTCAAAAAAAAAAAAAAAAAGAAAAAAAAAGAACTGTCCAACATGTGTCTACAGGGAATATCTGGGAAAAGGAGGTGATGGACCATTTTTATTTTCTTGACACCTTTGTAAGTTAGGGAAATCTAGGGGTCGGGGTGTAGTTCAGTGGTAGAGTGGGAAACAAAAAGCAGGAAGATCACAAGATGGGTCACACAGTTCTTGATTCCAAGGAGGTTTGGCTGGGATCAAACCAAGGGACCATGCTAAGGGTACATGTGGTAGTTTTTCTTTTCTGTAAAACAGGGATCACAGGTGTGGCAGCTCTGTACATCACAAATTTGTGTGAAGACAGAGGGCATGTTATTATACCCCAACCTTTCTACCCTTAAGTCTTCACACCCTCTCCCAGAGTCACAAATATTTGGCTTGTGTGTGTGTGTGTGTGTGTGTGTGTGTGTGTGAGAGAGAGAGAGAGAGAGAGACAGAGAGAGAGACAGAGAGAGAGACAGAGAGAGAGACAGAGAGAGAGAGATGCTGGGGATCAAATACAGAAGTGTGGGAATGCTAAGCACATACTATCTACATTTCCAGCCCAGGGTTATCTTTCATCATCATTACTATTTCGCAGTCAGGGGCTGAACCTAGGGCTTCACACACTAGGTAAACACTCTATCAGTGCGTTAAATCCCCAGCCCTTTTTAAATGTTAAGACAGGGTCCTCCTAAATTACTCATGCTGGCTTTAAACTTGTAATCCTCCTGTCTCAGCCTCCCAAGTAGCTGGAATTACAGGCATGTGTTACTATGCCTTGCAGTCTTTTTTTGTTTTGTTTTGAGACAGGATCTCGATATGTAGTGCAGGCTGGCCTCAAGTTCACAGTGATCCTCCTAGCTCAACCTCCTGCCTCAGTCTCCTAAATGCTAGGATTATAGGCATGCAACACAATGTCCAGCAAAGTGATCAATGCTTTAAAGTGAGTTTTTCAAAATTTCAAACACTCGGAGAACATAGCAGGCCTCATTCTATCTGTGGATCTGCTGTTTGCCAACCCTGATTGTGAAGACCAAGGCTATAGTGGGGGTAGAAAGGTTAGGGTGTAATAACATGCCTTGTGTCTTCACACAAACTTGTAATGCACAGAGCTGCCACACCTGTGATCCCTGTTTTATAGAAAAGAGAACTACCACATAGCTTCTAAGTGGCAGAGCTATGATTCAAATTTAAGTTCTCCTGACATCCTCAAAACAATGGGGGGAAAAAAGTATGAAACACAAAAGTGCCTTGGGCAGAACATGCAAAAGATGAGGGGCTGGGGATTTAGCTCAGCGGCAAAAGCGCCTGCCTGGCAAGCGCAAGGTCGTGAGTTCGGTTCCTGGTACCGGAGAAAAACCAAAAACCAAAAAAAAACAAAACAAAAAAAGGATGAATAGTCTCAGTGCATTGCTAGGTGAGGCAGGAGGATCACAAGTTCAAGCCGAGCCTGGGCAAATTTATCCA